CAGAACGGCTCAACCAGGAAATTGGGAAATATCTACGGCAACAATGTTCGCGGCAGCCGCAAGAGTGGAGCCGATTCCTTCCTTGGGTAGAGTATGCTCAGAACTCACTCATTCACACCTCCCTACGCCTAACGCCCTTCCAGTGTGTTCTAGGGTATCAACCCCCCCTGTTCCCGTGGGATACCGCATCAGGGATGGTACCGGCGGTGGACGAGTGGTTCCGTCGGAGTGCGCAGGTCTGGGAGACGGCCCATCAACATCTCAGTCAAGCCTCACAACAGCAAAAGACCTACGCCGACCGACGCCGGAGACCTACTCCCACTTATCAACCCGGGCAACGAGTGTGGCTGTCTACCCGAGACCTGCGGTTCCGACAGAGCTGCAAGAAGCTCCAACCCAGGTACATTGGTCCTTTCAAGGTACAGAGACGTATTAACCCTGTCACCTACCGTCTGTTACTCCCTCGACACTACAGGATAAATCCTACGTTCCACGTCTCCCTGTTGAAACCGGTCCATTATAGCCCGATGTACCCACCAATCGCTCAACAACCTACTACACCACCTTTGGAAGATGAACAGGACACCACCTATACAGTCCACGAGACACTGGAGTCAAGACAGAGACGAGGGGGCATCGAATATCTCGTGGACTGGGAGGGATATGGACCTGAGGAACGGTCCTGGGTCCCTGCTAAGGACATACTAGACCCCGCTCTCAAGGCCACTTTCCACGCTGAACACCCAGATCATCCCGGACCCCGACCCAGAGGAAGACCACCCGGTAGAGGTAGAAGGCCGTCAGGAGCCGGCCCTGGGGAGGGGGATACTGTAAGGGATCGGGGGTTGGCTGGGTCTAGACAGAGTCTGACACTTCCCCGATCTACAGAGAGGGGGAGTCATCAGACTCGATCTGGTTCACCTGAGTTCTGAGCACACCTGTCCATAATTAGGGCAGGATATAAGGTGTGCTCAGAAGTTCAGTCGGTGCGAGGTATTGTTCCTTTGTGACTTGCTAAGCGTTTTGTTCCGAGAGAGAGAGAGAGTTTGTTGTTTTTGATTACCCGTGTATCCGACCTGTGCCTTGTTGTTTGACTCCCCGAATTGCTTAATCCTCTGCTTGTCTACCCCAGTGATTACCGTCCTCTGATCCTGTGCCTGTGCCCTCGACTACGACTAAGCCCGCTCCCTTGGTACCTCTGCCTGTCTATGCCTGGCCCGGTTTTGACCACAGCCCGCCCGACCACGATTAAGCTATTCCCTTGTCTGTACTCTAATAAAGCATCGCAATTCTGCGATTGGATCTTACCACTCTGTCCGAGTATTCATTACACTACCTAGCATTAAACCATTATAAACTACAACTATGAATGTAAAGATACATTTGTGGTGGAAACTAGCCATTGCATCTTCCACCTCCAGACAATGAATGAGATTGAACCACATAAAAAACAGACTTTGCCTGATACTTGGTATTAGATTGAATAATCTGGCTCTTCCTATTGATATCTCATCATTAACATGTAATCTTTATTTCTGCTCTCCTCAACACCCACCTGTTTCTCTGTCTAATGTTGTCTTCCCTCTTCCCTCCCTCTGAAATGAAGAAACACAGAAGTACAGTACAGTAGAGACTAGCTAAATGTAGCATCACTGGAACATTATGCCTGTGTACTGTCTCAGGGTGTTGTAGGTGATCCGATGTTCTCTGGTGTTGGTATGGGTGTTCTAGGTGATCTGATGTTCTCTGGTGTTGGTCTGGGTGTTCTAGGTGATCTGATGTTCTCTGGTGTTGGTCTGGGTGTTCTAGGTGATGTGATGTTCTCTGGTGTTGGTCTGGGTGTTGTTCTACTACTGCTGGGTCTTCTGCTGTTCATGATCTTTAGACAGAGGAGAGACAGAGACAGGAAACCAACAGGTACGGTAGTTATCACACACAATCGTTGTTTAAAAAACACAAAAAAACGTCAAAAAATAAATATACAAATATACATGAAAACAGTTAATTAAAATAACATCTTCAAAGATAAATTATAAATAAATAATCTATGTTTGTTTTCCTCTTCAGCATCCAAACACTCCAACCAGGATCAAGACACAGGAACCATCGCTAATCCCATCTACTTCACAGCAACCAATCAGAACCCAGATTCAGCCTGCGATATCACCACCATCTACACCATGGCAACCAATAAGAATGCAGATACAGCCTGTGACTTCACCACCATCAACGCCACGGCAACCAATCCTTGTGCAGATGACATCTACTCCAATGTTGGTCTGTCTACAAAGGTTCCATACAGTGTGACCTATGCTACTGTCAACTTCTCCAGAGATCCAGCCTGTCTCCATTATGCTACTGTCAACGTCCCCAGAGATCCAGCCTGTCTCCACTATGCTACTGTCAACTTCCCCAGAGATCCAGCCTGTCTCCACTATAATACTGTCAACTTCCCCAGAGATCCAGCCTGTCTCCACTATGCTACTGTCAACTTCCCCAGAGATCCAGCCTGTCTCCACTATGCTACTGTCAACTTCCCCAGAGATCCAGCCTGTCTCCACTATAATACTGTCTCCTTCAGTACATACTCTGATGCTAGTAACCACCCAGACACTCACCCTACAGATGTAGACACGTCATAGATGTACTGCACCATTAAAAACTCTGCTACATAGTCTACTACTCTCACTGATCTGTATGGCAAAGCATGAATTCATGTTTTCATTCATTCATGTTTTCATTCATTCATGTTTTCATTCATTTGTGGTTTTAATTCATTCATTTATTTGATTGTTCATGTGTTAATTAGTTTATATATTCATTCAATCATTCATTTATTTGTTTGTTCTTTCATTCATTCATATTTGTATTCATACTTTTTTTGATTGGTAATTTGTTAATTTGTTTCTATATTCATTTATTGATTAATTTGTTAGTTCATTAGTTCAATCATCCGTTCGTTCATTCTTTTGTTTGTTTGTCGGCCGTTCCGTCTGTACGTCCGTTCATTCATTCAATCATTTTTCTACTGTGAATGTAACATTTACATTTACATTTTAGTCATTTAGCAGACGCTCTTATCCAGAGCGACTTACAGTTAGTGAGTGCATACATTTTACTTTTTTTTATACTGGAATCGAACCCACAACCCTGGCATTACAAATGCCATGCTCTAACAACTGAGCTACATCCCTGCCGGCCATTCCCTCCCCTACCCTGGACGACGCTGGGCCAATTGTGCGCCGCCCCATGGGTCTCCCGGTCGCGGCCGGCTACGACAGAGCCTGGATTCGAACCAGGATCTCTAGTGGCACAGCTAGCACGCAATGCAGTCCTTAAA